ATAATGGGTTATTTGAGAAATTTTATTTCATTAAGAATTTTCATATAATTTCATATTTTAAAATAATAAAATTAAATAAAAATAAAAAATGAGATTTTAAATAAAAATAATCGCACCAAAATTCTGCCTAGAGGTTAGAGAGTTCATATAGTCTTTTTATATTTAAGAATCCGATCTTAACTTCGCATCTCATTGTCATTTAGGACATATATTTACATCTATATTTGCATTTATTGTTTATATATATATATATATTAATTATCGATGTTTATTGTTAGTTATTTAATTATTTAATTATTTTTTAAAGAAATTAATTAATTTTAAAAATAAATAAATAAATTTAAAATAATATTTCAGGGAATATAATTTTTGATAATCTGCTTAGATGTTGGGAACCACCAATAATTTTCATTTTCAAATAATGTTATTTTTATTTTAAAGGAAATATTTTGATAAATGTTAGAAAAAGAGTATTATCTTTGAATTTTGATAAAGGAAGTAAGTGCTGAATAAGAAATGAAAGGCCCTTGGCATTACATAATCTAGCAAGTGTTAGGAAAAGGACAAAATGATCACGTGACACATGCACGTGCTTACTCCCCACTAACTTTCTCATGACAAAAATGTCAAAAGTATTGGTCATGATCCAAGCAAAGCAAATCGGTTTATCTTTACCATTGTTTTTGGCTGTCCGTTGGAGGAGTATGACGATTGAAGCTACAGCTTTAAGTCGGCGAGATTCCCCAACATTTCCACAATGAGAAAAAGGAAGAATAAACAAAACGAAGAGAAAGTTCGGTAGAGATTGGACTCTAAAAAAAAAAAAAGTGAAGTGTTTGAATTCATATGTCTTGACATATAAATTCGATTATGAACAAGCTTAATATATTATTTAATTCCATCTTGTGGAAAATTCATTTCTTGGTCTTAAAATACAAAATGTGGGTACTTTGCTAATGCATTAAGAAAAATAGAGTGGAGAAGACAACTATTGAAGCTGTTCTCTTTTTCCCTGCTATTCCCTTATAAAGGTCATGATATGTGGCACCTACAATGCTTAAAAATTGATATTTTTAATCAAAAAAACTCTCGAATCCAAATCTTATGAAATATAATTTGTTACATCTTGATTTATATATAGTCTTTATATACTTTATAAAATCAAATAATTATGCCGATAAATACCATCAAACAAGGATGAAAAATATTGAATACTAAAACAAATTAAAGCACAACTAACTTTTTAAAAGAAAAAAAAAAAAAAAAACTAAAACCAACATGATTCTGAGCAAAAATCCTACTATTGATTAAGAAATATTTGGAGTCTGATCATTTTTTTTTTTTATTTATTTAACAAGAAAGAGTTCTTGAATTTTATCTATCTAATACATTTCTTTTTTTAATTAAATTTTGGTTCATCTTTGGTGTGGGCTGAGATCTAAAACTTTTCCAGTAGAGCTCCACTGTAGTTGGATTGGAGTAAAACCGTTACAAACTTTGATTCTGATGGGCAGGTCTAAAAGCCCACAGGTGGAATTGGGTTATGGATTAAGTCTGTTTGACATGAAATTTTAAGCCGACCCAGCTTAGCTTTAAAAAATAAGGGCATGATGAAAATGCTTCATCGTCCTGTGGCCCAATTTGATGGATCTCTTTAATCGTTGGGTCTTAATTAAAAACACTTCAATTTAAGGAAAACAAAATTATTTATTTATTTAGAAAGGACAAAAAATCAGCCCCATTCCATAGTCCCTCCCTTTAGTCTTCTTGATTTTTTTTCCTACAGAGTTTCCCTGCTTTTTCTGGCTATTTCTTATCCTATTAGTTGTTAATAAATTGCTTTTTTAATTCAGTTTTTTGTATCTAAATAGTCGTAAACTAATATTTTAATTGTTTTTTTTTTTTTACTATAAATTAATTTTCAAATTAAAGTTTTGCAAACAAATCATAATATTAAAAAAAAACAAACGAAATCGAACGAAGCCCAAACAGGGACTTCTCAGCTAAAGGGTCAGATTGTTATGAAATAAATAAATTTCTTAAATGGTTTGAAAATTATTATGAATAGATTAATAAATAAATTTCTTAAATGGTTTGAAAATTTTTACTTAATATTTTAAAAAGATATGAAGTTTTTTATTTAATTTTTTAAATCACAATTAAATTTTTTACTTAATCTTTTAAAATGATACGAAATTATTTTCAAATCAATTTTGAAATTCTTAACTAAATTTTAATTTTTTAAAATCTATTATCTACTAAAAATAAAAAAATATTTAACAAATAAAATATATTAAAAGTATTTTATTAAATTTAATATTTTATAAAATAATTTGAAATATAAAAAAATTTAGATAGTAGTATCTTTGATCCCTAAACTTTAAATAAAATTCTATTTTGATCCTTCAATCTTTCACGTGGGATGCTAACACTACCATCCACATAGCATCAATTAGTATCTACCATCAATTTAGACGGTTTTATAAACAAAAAATAAATAAAAATAAGATAATTTTACCGATAGGATCTAATTATAATTTTTTAGATATTATAAACTAAAATAAAATTTAACTCAAATGACTACGTACTATTTACCCTTTATTTATTGAAGAAAAAAATTGCCTTATCCTCTTTCATGTCCTTCTAAATGTCAAAATGGACATACTTCACATTTACGTAAAAAAAAATGGAGGAAATTACTGAAAATGGCTTGTTTTCAACATTTAGAGCCCACCCTTATCTCTAGTTACCATTTTAGGTGATTTGAAATGGAAGTCTTGCCCTAATGTCTGATTTAATTATGATATATACTCGTATGGACTTTATAATCGCACTACTTCAGTTAAATGATTGAATTCAATGTTTGAAATTTAACATCTAAATTAACAATATTTTGGCATCAATTACTAAACCACTCAGCTGGAACCTAGAACTTAACCTATATAATTCATCCAGAGAGATATTTCAAGTACTTGTAAATTTTTTTTTTATATTGTGATAGCGGTATTGGGGATGGTAACGAGTCAAATTAAGATGAATTTTTGTTTGTCTTAAATTTAACCCAATTTTATATCCATAAAGTTTAAACTTGACTTGACTCGAAAAGTTTTTTATTTTTTTTATATTTGAACTCAACCTGACTTGATATGGTATAAATTGTATTCAACTCGATCATAAATTAATAAAATATTATTTTTAAATATAAAATATTTTTTAATATAAATATAAAATTGAATAAATATATAAATATATATAAATAATTAATTTAAATAATTAAAAATAAATTATATATATATATCGGGTTGAGTCGAGTCGAATTTACTTAAAACTTGATCTCAATTTTTTTTTTATTATTATCTATTTGAAATTTGATCTTTTAAAAAAACAAATTGATCTTACGAGATTGAGTCAAATCGAAATATATCGGAGACGAATTGAGTTGACAACCTTGCTTTTAATCTAGATAATTAGCGAAAATCACGAAGACCAAATAGGAACTTCAGGATCTCACCCGGAAATTTGTTGCCTTGCAAGTTGCAAGCATAAGTTTCGAAGATTTTTACAAAATAAGCAAGATCCTAAGAAAGACATCCGGTTAACATGTTGAGAATGAAACTAAAGGAGGGTTCACTTAAAAGTTTATTTGGATCAACAAGGAAATTCATTTTATTAAAATTAAAAATGATAATAATTAAATTAATTATTATAATAATAAAATTAAAATTAAATGACAAAATTTGTATTTAAATATAAAATCAACAATAGTGATAAGATGAATTTTAATAAAAAAAGAAAATAATTATTAAAAAATATTAAATTAAAAGATTTATATCATTAAAATTTTAAATTATTTAATATTTATAAAAATTTATTTATTATATAAAAGTTGTTAATAAATAATAAATTATTAATAGATAATATGATATTAAATGAACAAAAAATATTTTAAAGATTTTTAAATAAAAATTAAAATAAAATAATAAATTAAAATTATATTTTTGATATAATAATATAATTAAAAAAAAAAAAACTTAACAGTCATCATTTAGAACAAAAATAACAAGTTAATGACTGAGTATTACCAACCGCACTATTATCCGATTTGGATAAAAAGCTATGACTGGATACATTTTTTCCATGTCAACGGCTGTTAAAGGGGGGCCCACCAGCCTTTGATCACTTCATTTTCAGACTAAATCTAAAAAACTTTGTTTTCCCATGTTTAGATGATGGGAAGATGAACACCTGTCACGATTTCCGCCACCAGGTGGAGTTAAGCCAGGCAATGAATTGAAAGCACAGCTACTTTCTAGCATTCGCTAAATTCCATGCAAGAATGCAAACACCCATCAGCTAATTTATCGATGTTTAATTTCAGTTTACTTTCGGTGCCTCATTCTCATTTGTTAGCACTGACCTGTAAGCTCTGCCTGAATCTTAGAGGTGTATTTAAAACAATTAGTTATTTGTGCTTAAAATACAGGTCTTTATCTCATAATACATAGAGTTGGTAGGGGGAGACTGAAAGCTTTTGACCTTGGGAAGACTTGTCATTTGCAGAAGAACTGAATGTTTCAACCGTCACGCATCTTCTCCCTCTCTTTTCTTTTTCTTGCTTATGTTAAGATTGTTCAATAAAAATTGAACCTCAAATTATTTGTGTGGCTTTGGAAGCGTCTTCTCCACGGCCTCCAACTGCCTTGAAAATAAACAATCCACAAATCCAGGCAGCCAGCTGTTGCCACGATCAAGGCATTCCTCCAACAATTTCGTCCTTCTACTCTTTTTTTTTTCTTCTCAGCAAGAAAGCAACAAAAATATATTGCACTACTATGCTGACAATAGCATCTTCGCTTTGTCCATCCAAAAAACCCAAAATAACTTAGTAAAATTAAAAGAATTTCTCGTCCAACACTCCATGGCATCTATTACCTATATGCAAAATCCAAAGCATAAATTACTGTACTAATCACAGAGTACGTATTTACAAATTCTCAACGTCAAACCAATCTTTCCAAAATTAAAAAAAAAAAAAAAAACATATATATATATATATATAAAGATAGCAAGGAAAATTCCCTAATTTCCACGTAGGGGTTTGGCTGTCTGTGGCGCTTGCTTTTCACATCCTTCTCCCTCAATTTTAACTTTGCTACAACTGTTGAAACTGTCACCCTGCCAAGTCCAAACAATGTCTTTCAATGCAGGCCTAACATCTTCCTCGCAAAACTTAGCGTACTCCAAGGTATCCCCGGCAGACTTGGAAAACTCTACAACTGCAACCTCTGGTGCCACCTCAAACACCTCCGCCGTCACCGATAGCCGCCCTTTCCTCCCCTCGGATGATCCTTGTAATCTCATCTTGAAGTCCTTCACTTTCCCCACCCTAAAGTTCAACCCCTTTGCAACACCTTCAATTTTAGCCATTATAGCACTTGCTGAACATCTTGACGTGAATATTGTCCCCGATTTCCTCTTGTTCTCAAACAAACTTGACAAATCAAACCCCGATGACATGGAGGAGATGAACTCAAACGCATTAAAGAATTTCGGAGCCGATAGTTTGTTAGTCTTGGATGCAGAATCATCACCATCCTCTATATTATCTGATATTGGTTCTTCGATTGAAAACGCAAGGGGACGTGTAAACCCTTTTATAAACCAAGGAACACTCATTATAGATAGAATTGTGATCCTTCTTTCTGGGTCTGCCACTAGTAGTTTTGAGATCAAGCACTTTGAATCTGTTGAAAACCAGGGTGGAAACTCAAAATCAGCTTTGAAAACTTTCCTGTACATCTTCATAATATTCTCATCTTGAAATGGCAAGAAACCTGCAAGAGGAACATATAAGATAACCCCACAAGACCAAATATCTGCTTTGGATCCATCGTAGCCTTTTTTTCTCAAAACCTCCGAGGCAACGTAAGCTGGAGTCCCACACCGCGTGTGGAGGAGCCTATCATTGCGAAGCTGCTCAGGCAAAGCTGACAAGCCAAAATCAGAGATCTTTAGATCTTCGTTCTCATCCAAAAGAAGGTTCTGTGGCTTCAAATCTCGGTGTGAGACACCTCTACTATGGCAAAAATCAACTGCGCTTATCAGTTGTTGAAAGTACTTACGAGCAACATCTTCTTTGAGCTTGCCTCTAGCTACTTTAGCAAATACTTCACCGCCACGGACATACTCCATAACAAAGAAGATCTTTGTTTTTGTAGCCATGACTTCTTTGAGCTCCACTATATTTGGATGACGAACAAGACGCATGACAGAGATTTCTCTCTTGATCTGCTCCATCATGCCTTCTCTCTTCACCTGATCTTTGCTGATGACTTTTATCGCCACGCTTTCACCAGATGTTAATTCCTTCCCATGGTAGACCTTTGCGAAAAAAGTACCTTTCCCAAGCAGTCGCCCCATCTCATATTTCCCAAACAAAATATGCCTATCCTCCATGGCAGCACCTGTATTTTTTTTTTGTTTCCACACTATAAACTTCCGTAACTTTTTTGGCTCTGCGCTCACGAAAGCTCATGTACTTCAATATTGTTGTTTCAACATGGATTCAAGGCTTTGCAAAGATGTACAAGGTAAAGGAATCCAGGAAAGGATAAAGGAAATGCTTATTTTGAAGGATTCCATTAGATGGCTACAATTCACATGATTAGGATCTTGTAATGGGGTGTTAAGAGAGGAGATCAAGAAGAGTGTCGACTGAAAGGGCAAGCGAGGGGAGTAGATGTGAAGGGTTGTGTATAAGAAACCATTGGAACACATGGGATTGCCTTTTGAGAGACTTGGGGCTGCCACAACGGCACACAGAATCAAATCTCACAAATATGTTTCCGCAAAGATAACTGGTATAAATAGGAAGACGCGTTTAATGGTGGGCGTTCCAACAAACCTTTACTTTTTAATCTTTAATTAAATTTTCTGTTGCCGTGCCCTGCCCGCACGCCCCCAGTCTTTTTTATTTTTTGGGTTTTCTATCTCTGTTTCTCTACTGGTTAGGATTTGACGTCTAATGGGATCAAAAGAGCTTAGGACTGGGGTCTTGGGTTTTGGTCGTATAACGACAGTGAGCTGAGTCTACCATATCTCTTTTCCATTTTTTTTTTATAACTCAGTCCAAAATATTATGGTGAAGAACATAAATCTAAGTACAAACAGATCCGATTCTGTAAATTTGATCTCATTTAGTTTTGGTGTAAGTTAAATTCGATCTCTTCTACTTATATCATCTAACTGTAAGCGAGTATATATGAGCATTCATTTAGTCAAAGTTTCCTCTCTGATATTTCTCTTTTTATTTTTTTATTTTACAATTTTTATTTTTACCTTCCCAATCCCGTGTTTCAGTTGCATCTCTTGGACTGTTTCATGGAGATATTTCTAAATTACTGCAAATTTTAGATTGATTGGCTACCAAGACAAGATCCCATGTTTCAGTTCTATGTGACCCTTTCAAAGATAAAATATGAAAATTTGACAGTCTTTAAATCCTATGATCAATCTGAAGCTCAGTAGCAACTTGCACTTATAATTCCAATTTGACTTTAACAGCCCCACCAATTGAAGCTACAAAATTGGTTTATGAATAATTCTTTAGGAATTTTATGCTTATTGATTCAGATTTGGTAAATGTTTAAAAAAATTTTCAAAGAAAAAGGCTTCCGACAAGCACTCGAATTTTAAGCCCAAGCAATACTATAACCCAGAAGGAAATTAATCATAGCCAACTGGCATTTGGATGTACATTAATTTCCTTCTATTTTCCACCTTAATTTCTGTTGAATTTCTCCTTTTGATTTGTTGGGTAATGAATAAATCCACTAACCATTGCTGCGCCAAGGTCAATTTGGCAATAACCAATATCATCAGTTGATTAATATATGATGCAATACATTATGACTTTTGCTGACGAGTCTCTTTAGAGTATTTTTTAAATTTAGTTAAATTATTATTTATAGTAATAAATTTTAATAATTAATTTGATAAATTTAAATGCATTAAGAAAATACATTAACAATGTTTTTCACTTTTTTGAAACAAATATTTAATATTTTGATTGATTTTTAATTTTATCTATTAATTAGAGTTAAGGATGCTAATAAGTAAAGTATAGGGCAAATACAACATTTTTCATCTTCTTTCTCATATTTTTTTATTATACCCATTCACTTACTAATATTCAATGATATTTTTAATTTATATATATTCTCATCTCCATGGATATTTAACAAATATAAATAATTTTTATACTCATAATTTTTTAAAAATTTAAAAAAAATTGATATTTTTAGTTTTTTTTATCTTCCGTATTTATTTAATTTTTTATAAATATATATTAATATATTTTTTAAATAAAAATATATTAATTCTAATTAATCAAAATAAGAATTTATATTATTTAATTAAAAAATTTATTTACTAAATATATATATAATTATATATGTAAAGTATGGGTATAAGTACATGATGGATGTTATATTATTCATTTTATTTTTATATCTGATAAAATTTTAAAATTATATACATTTTAATTTTTATACTTATAATATAATATGCATCTCAATCCTCATTTGAATAAAAAAATAAAAAATTTTATTAAATATAAATAAAATTTACATCCCTACTAGCGACATTTCATACAGTCATGAAAATAGCCCTTGAAAGTATGGAAAACTGTATACTTTCTCCAAGTATCAAATTTTCCCTTTAAGGATATATTTTAAAATTGATCGAAGAATGCAACAAGGTAATAGTTGCTTTACAACGCATAACTTTACCAGCTATTCAATCTCTTGCAACAACTCTTCAGCTAATTGCCAACAAATCTTGATCAAAGGGTTAAAAAACATTTCACATATACTCCTATCTCTTCCCCGCTTATATATTAAAAAAGAAAACTTTAATTTTTGTGTATTTAATATTATAAATTAAATTTTTTAAAATATTATTATACCGTACTTTTTATTGTCAAAATTTAAAAATAAATAAAAATAAATTTTAAATATAAAAAAGTAAGAATATAAAGGGTTTAAAAATGAAAAAAAGTAATTTTAGAGCATTAAAAAAAGTGAATAAAAAAAAAAAAAAAAGAGATGAGAGAGAATACATATTTAAGTTGACGATTAATTATTAGGTTCACATAAATAGCCCACTTTTCGTTTCTCCCCCAAAGCAATATGATGACATTTTTTTTATTTTTTTCTATGGTAATAAGGCCAATCCCAAATTTATATTCTTATTGTACAATAAAAATTTTAATTTTAATTGGATTTAAGCATTACCTCATAAAATATGTATATCGAATAGATTTTTTAAAGTTAAACTAAATAGGATTTTTGAAAGGTGCTGATTCGATCAGATTTAAACTTTTAATATTTTATTCAATTGAATTAAGTAGATAAATATATAAAAAAAATTGTAATAAATTAAGAATTAAAAAAGTTACCTCTACTTTGCAAGATAGCATTAATTTTTCCCTGAAATAAGACGAAGTTTAATGGATACCACAACAGTCACCAAGGCCTGCCTGCCTGTCTTTATTAGGCGAATGTGTTTAGGATTTTGAATTTTCCTGGAATTTGGATTTTTATTAATTTTAAACTTGGGGGACCAAAGAAGCAGGTGCTCTCAATCCGATGTCAACAAACAATTGGTCAATTCTCAGAAAGCTCATTTGGGCTCCACAATCGGCCCCTTCGGGGCCCGGTTCAGAGCTGGCCCAATATTTCAACCTGATTATGATGTTTCATATTTTCAGAGTGGATTAATTTTTATTTAAAAATTTGTATTATTAGATTTATTCGCCTAATGTTATAAGATTGATATTTCGTCGCAAATCGCTGGGCAATTAGTTCCATGATATCCCATGTTAATACGATTTACCATTTTTATGAACATATATTCAATCAATTACTCCATATTCATCAAAATTATATTACTGTTATTGTCTATATTTTTATGAAGTTTTAATTGTAATGATAAAAACTATCAACCATCAAATTTTAAAAAATGTACTACTTAGAAATTTCATAAGAAGAAAAAAAAAAACCATGCAAATTGCAATTTTTAGGTCGTGTTTGATAACACATTAAAAATTTTCAATACATTAAAAGTAAAAATTTTTAACAATTTAATTTTTTTAATGCATTTGATAATATATTTTAAAATCCACTTAAAAAAATTTTTTCAACAAAAAAGCATTAAATGATATAAGTAAATAAGGACCTCTTTAACACTTAAAACAAAAAAAAAATTCAGTAATTTAAAAAAAAAAACTATTTTCCCCTAAAAATATTACTTCAATATTTGCGATAAAAATACAAATAAAAATGTAAAATAATAAAATTTTAAAATTAATTATTTTATAGTTATCAAACAATATATTTATATTCAATATTTAATTTTCAACAAAATATCAAATAAATTTTATAATTCAAATTGAATATTTATAAATTTCAATGTTACTAATTTTTTTAATTTATCAAACAGAGTTTTAGATTCTTTTATTTTATAAACAAATAAATATGTAATAAAAAATGTTTGATCAAAGATTGTAGTGATAGTTGAGAATTTAATGGCGTTTTTGAACAAAAACGTCGTGAAATTACGAAATTTATTTTTTAAAAAAATTCTTTTAATATTTACTATTATCATTAAATAAAAATGTTTTAAAAAATAAAAACGAACTTAAATTCAAAAATTGAATTTAATAAATACATAATTTGTTCAAATATGCATGTAACACAAAGTTTAATAATTAGTATAATAACATTCAAATTATTTTAGTACATTCACCAAAAAATTTAAAATGTATGAAATTGATGATTGCATATATTTGAAAAACTATCATTTAATGAAAGATTTTTTTCACCTTGATTACTAGCGTACTCAAGAACCTACTGAATAATATCATATAAGTTTTAACACTTAATAATAAGTTATTTTTATATTAAAAATATAAATAGTTACTAAATATAAAACATGAGTTGGTGGACCACCTAGATCACTTCCTAAAAATTGTTATTGCACAAAATTCATAAGAGTATATAATTGATCATACAATTACTGAAATTTTGCCTGCTTTTGGTCCATTCTAACATGTTTTTATTCAATTTTAGCACGCTCATGTTCTCTTTTTGCTTTCATTTGTTGGAAACGTCATTGCATAGTTTGTAACTCCCCTCTCAATATGAAAATGTCTCGTGAAGACTGACTTGCTAAGAATGTAAATTACTGAGAGCTATGTCCATAGTAGCTAGATAGTGTTGCACCCAATCCAAGGCCTCAGACCCGTTCATGTCTTTCTTTTCTAGCAACTTCTGTGAAAATCTAATTTTTCAATTCTTGAAGTTGACGGAATCATCATATGCTACTTTAATCTTAGCAATCATTTTTTCTTTCACTTTCTCTTGTAAATTAATCAAATAAAACTATCAAATTTAATGATTAATTCATAATATATTTAAAATAATAAATATTTACTTTTTTATATTAAACAAATGCAACAAATTACCACAATTTCTTGTGTTTTGATATTCAGGTAAGATCCATCTTTTTTTGTATGAGTTAATCGAAAAAGTTTCATACTTCCAATTTTTTCACCTATCTCAATCTCCTATATAAAAGCATATGTTATTGTTAAATACACATAAACCACAACTTATTCATGCATATCAAGCCTAGCAATCAAGTTCAAAATTTTGAATAAGTTTAATATAATGTATTCAATCTATCTAAATTGTTAAAATAGAAATACAACCTTAAAATTATATTTTTACCCTTTAATA